ACATTTTCTTGTACTACTAGTTATAAAAAAGTGTAGGACAGATCTCTTTGGCATTGTGTGTACAATTTTTTATATTTAAAGTCACGTGAAAACGTCATCATTCACTTGCATATCTTATCTCAAAAATCACTTGGGAGACCACTTTTCCCTGTGCGGATGCTGTCAGCACTGTTACTGTGTGCATACAGTAACTTGCTTTGCACCCCATACACTGCTAGAGCTTGTCAGTAGGGTTTGGCTGCCATATTTCTGAAGCTGTAGTTTCACAAAGCTTTATGATGGAGCAGAGCAGTGGAAGAAACACTACTGCAAGATATTTCGAAACTCTATTACAGCATAAGGGAGCCATAATACAGCTTCTACCAAGGCTCCCTGAGAATCTCCAGGGTGGTAAATGTAAAATGCTATTGAAAAGCAGTCTCATGGTAACTCATGTTCATGTGTTGACCATGGTATACTTTTCACTGTGTTTAATTTCAGTGAAATTAAGATTTTGTTTCAGTTGCCTTGCTGTTTTTTGTCTCATGGAGAATGCGAATTGGCAGAATAAAGTACACGGCCTTGTAGATGCTTCAGTCTCTGGTGGTAGGAGGCATAAAGACGTAAAAGCTAAAATAAATGCAAACAGCTCATTGCTTTAAATTCAGGTTTATGAGAAAAGACTTTTCATGCCTTTCATGCTGGAGGATCTAGTCTTAGGAATGAGAACTGTGTGAATTATATCTTTAATAGCCTCTTTGCTGTCGTAGTTAATTTTTGCTTGTGTTTTTCCCCTCCTCTTCCTCTTATCTCCCACCTTAAAAAAAAACAACCAAACAAAACCAAACTAAAAACCAGAAAACAGAACCCCAAACCAACCAGACCAAAACCACTGACTTTTGGTCAAAAAAAGACTTAGGACTGTCTTGGTTAGTTTTTGCGAACAAAATAGTAGTGTATCTGTACTGTTTCTAAAATTAGGCTTACCTTTGGTTAGGAAACTCTTCCTATCTTTTACGTTTTTTCCTTTGCAGAGTTAACTTTTCTTTTTAGTTACTTTCACTTCTCCTTTCAATACCACAAAGTTTTTAAACTTGACCACTATGCAGCCTATATTGTGGTTACATGAACAGTTCATTTTTTATTTTTTTTTTTTACAATTTCAAAGAGAATAGTTTTTTATGAATTTTCCTGAAGTATTTTTGTACTGAATATTTAATTATTTTACTATTCTTTCTTTTTTATTATGTATCTGAAATACAGTCTTTCTTATCTTTAGTAGCACTGTGCTATGGTGATAGGAATAAATTCTTGTTTGAATTAATGAGCTGGTTAGAGATTCCCTGTTATGTTTTTGTTTAGTGCATTAAAAAAATTCCAGCTTTCTCCTTTGAGTGCCTAGAAATATTTAATTGCACTCTTACTTTTTTTTTCTCACTCCTTATTGCCTTTGAACTTGTAACTCTGGATAATTTACCATGAGTTCCATCAATGCATCAAAACAGATATTAGTTTGGATCACAGAACGTTCGGGGTTGGAAGGGACCTCTGGGGATCATCTGGTCCAAACCCTCTGCTGAAGCAGGGTCACCTACAGCAGGCTGCACAGGACCTTGTCCAGGTGGGTCTTGAATATCTCCAGAGAAGGAGAACCCACAGCCCCTCTGGGCAGCCTGTTCCAGGGCTTAGTCACCCTCAGAGTGAAGAAGTTCTTCTTCATGTTCAGACGGAACTTCCTCTGCTTCAGTTTGTGCCCATTGCCCCTTGTCCTGTCGCTGGGCACCACTGAAAAGAGCTTGGCCCCATCCTCCTGACACCCACCCTTAAGATATTTATAGGCATTTATAAAGTCTCTCAGCCTTCTCTTCTTCAGGCTAAACAAGCACAGCTCCCTCAGCCTTTGCTTGTGGGAGAGATGCTCCAGTTCCCTAATCTTCAAAGAGACTTTACTGTGGAAATACTTGTATCAAGACCATATGAACCACTGTTTATTCTTTGGTTAATTTTAGTGTTTGCCCTACAAAGACCTTAAGGGAAAAGTTTGTTCCTTTCAAAAAAATATTGCCTTAAAGCACTGTTCTTGTATGGGTCTATGTATTTATTGGTAAAATAAATACAAAAAGATGCAGACAACTTTGAAATAGAAGGTCAAACCTGCTTTCAACTGCAGTGAGACTTTGTATCAAAGCTAACTTTAGGTATTCCCGTTGGTTATCCTGATTTAAAATGTTTTTGATGAAACATGGAACATTATTGGACTATATTTTTTTGCAGTTTCCTCCTCTATGCACTTGGATTGCCAGCAGCATCAGTGGTAGATTTCATTACAACCAAGCAATGAAATACCTGTTCTTCCTGTATAGTGCTTTCTGTGGACTATGAAATTATTTGCATGTATGGAATGTTGAGAAGCATTAACTTTTTTTAAGCACTGTCAATGTATAATTCAAGAAAAGTGTATGTAGAATACCCACACTGTACTTCTGTGCAGGTCTTGTGAATTTCCTGTTTTTGATCTATGGAAATCTTATTTTTAGGTTGCATTGTTTTAAATTATTTAAAGTAATTTGTTTGACACGTGTTTAAATGTGCTTATAATCCTAGTATCTCACTTTGTCTTACATGTTCTGCCTGATCAAATGTATTCCAAGAGTGTGCTTCCCTCTTCTAGGATGTGTGGTATAGGATTTGATTAATATGGGAAATGAGTGTTATGGCCCAATCTGTAATGTTGCAAAGCAGCTACTATACACACTCAGGAGGAGCTTGAAAACAAAGTGTAAAGTAAAAATGTGAACAAGTCAAAGGAAGTGAAATACCCCTTTTCAAGGGTGAACTGGCTCTCATCCCTGAACTGGTTCTGCTTGTTCCTAGGGGAGCAAGAGTAGCGCTGGGACTGTGTGGGTTATTTCATGGTGGAGGCTGGGGTGGTTCTCCCTGACCAGAACTGCTATTGCTGCTACTGTGTGGAGCAGGGCGGGTAAAGAGGGGACACTTGGGGAAACACGGACTGTAAGGAAGGGGCTGAGATTTTTCAGGAGATACAGGTAAGGAGTGTAGGGCACACCTCTCTCAAACCTGATTTAGTCGATTCTCTGCTGACTGAACCATGGGCTGAGACCTGTTACATCAGCCAAGGTGTCTTCCCTCTACCACTGCTTCATGCCTGCGCATGAAGAATCTTCAAGTATAATGGGTTGTTTCTTATGTGCTTGATAGTGGGCCATGGAGAAGCTGCTGGCTAACCCATTCTTTGGAGCCAGAGTGTTGCCTTTCATCAGTGCTCTGTGAAAGCCATGGTTTGAGGAGACAAAGCTCATGTAATATTTCTTCTTTCTTTTTTTTTTTTTAAGATTCCAGTCTAGTTATTGCAGTTGATAATCTGGCTTCATCCCACCATGGTTGCCATAGGCTTCTGATTTTAAAGACAGGAAGGGAAATTGCTGTCTGGTCAAGATGTAGGTGCTTTTTTGCCACTGACGACTCAGTACTTCACTTCCAATGATGTTACCCTCCCTTTTGCTTTTGTTGCAGTCTCTTTCTTCCTGGGTCTTGCCTATGTAATTATTCCTGTGGAGTGTGCTTTCCTCGTTGCCTGCTGGTTTGATGTGACACTGAAGGGCCCCATCATCCATGCTGAGCTCTTTTATGTTTATGCTATATTAATTTTCTGCTTTTGCATGTTCTACAACCATCTGTATGTGAGTGGCTTACAATCTATTTCTATGTTCCAGAAACTGTTGCTTCTTGATTTTGAACAGGAAAAATTAAAGTCTTTTTGTTTTTCCTCTAAACCTCTCTTCATGGATGTGTAATAGTCACTTCTTGCTCTGACTAGAGTGGAACACTTGTACCCAATTTTTGCAGCTAATTTTCTTTGCTCTCTCTGATCTGAATTCCACAGAAGCTATAATAACTTTGTCTTTTAGTTTGGTAACTTTTAATGTACTTAGTAAGTGACATCTCAAGATACTTATCTTCAAGATATGTTCAAGCCTCCCAATATTTTTGCATAGCTTTTCAAAGATATGAGTCTGTTGATATGGTTGAAATCTTGTCCAAGATCTCTTACGCATCAAATTCTATTATAACTTTCTTCTGTGTTGACAAGTATAATATTGCTGTTCACATCTGCTCAAAAGGCTGCTACAAAGATGATTAAGATTTAGCACATCTTATTGAGTATGTCAGCTGTGTTTGTGTTCTATCGGTCCTTGCCCATATACATTAAAACACCCAAGATCTAACAATGAAAATACTTAAAATTTCACTTAGTAACTCTTTATTGAAAAGCTGCTAAATATCTAACCAGTAAAAAAAAAAAACTAACCCAAACCACTTTTCCAAGTAAGTTTGCTTTTGCTTTTGAAAGGATGAAGTTAGAGCGGTTGTCTTGTGTTGGTGATAAGTCTTAAGGATTATTCATGAAACCATGAGTGTATCCTACCTAACTGTAATAAAGGAGCTGAAGGTTTTTATGCTTCTAAATGAATTTTTAAATAACTGGAGCAAAGACACACAAAGTTTTGGGTAACATAAAAAAAAAATAGAACAATGTCTTTGTTGTGCTAGCTTGTCTTTTAATAAAAAGTAGTTTCTTTGCATATTTGTATATTCTATTACAATGTCAGGAGTACTGCTGTTTCAGGGTACCAAAAAACAATTTAAAACTATGCTTTTGGTAAATAAGCCTGCTGTTTCATATTCTACATGTAATGGTTGGGAAGAACTCTTCATAAATTGGTTTTGTAGATATCTTTTTCTGCAAACTTTCCATGAAATTCTCATGTTCTGCATGATTTCTCCATAATGTAAGGGGATTCCCGTCTGTTAAATCACATGCTAAGGCAAATGACTGTTATATGTATCTTTAGGGAACCACTTTAAAATAAAACAGTTAAATAACAGGCAAATTACCACAGAAAAACAAGGATGTTTAGTTTCCAAGATCAGCCATCTTAGAGTTACATAGCATGGAGACAGTATGTGATATATTATACTTTTTCTGTTTTCAGTTGGATAGATTTGCCAGTATAAGAATTCCAGGAAGTAAAAAGGAAAGACCTCCTCTGCCTCATATGAAGCAGTCACATTCTACGGATTGGTCATCCACACCTATGGATGCGGAGGAGTTTGCTCCAAAACGTCTGTCGGAAAGAGAAATCATAGCGCTCTTTGAAAAAATGATGGTAAGAGTCTTACACTAATTTCTTTTACTTAAAGAGTGATAGTATGGCTAACTGGCAGGTGGAGCCTTCTTTTGTGCATGTGTTCTGACTTTTATCTGAATTACTAATATTTTTGTTATTATGAGTTGTAATTTACATGCTTTGTAGGGTGTTAGGGGATGAAGTGTTTGAATTATTTTGACAAGATTTTGCTCCAACTATATTTAAAATGAAAACTAAAGGTCTCTGATTATGAGGAGTGAGATTATGCAACAGATTTTGGGGAGGAGTAAGAAACAGGGAATCCTGCTTGCTTTCAAGGTGACTTGAAACTTTTAGAAAGGGATTTTATGCCTTTGAATATCTCAGCAGGGGGTTGCTCTGAACTTATATTCCAGGTCACTCTTGCACAAGACTTAAGGTTCTTGCCTCCAAAGCAGCATTTGTCTGCACATGCAGTCTCAAATTTACTTCCTTCCTTAGCTGTCATCGTTACTGTGCTACAAAAGAGCAGTCACTTGCTAGAAAGATTGTGTAGCATTGGTACCACCTCAGTAGGTGGAGGATTTTTTGTCATGATGATGACGACATTTTGGGCAATTGAAAAATAAATATGGAATGGCCTTGAGAGAAGAGTGTGACTGCAATCTGAAGAGTGCAAGAGGACGTGAATAAGGAGAGTGATGCCTAGATTATTACTTCTTTCTCTGCCTCTTAGCAAGTAACAAGTAACTCTTGAAACACAGAGGGACTACCAGGGGCTGGGATGTGGAAGAAATTAAATGCGCTAGGAGAAAAGTACCTTTATGGAATTTGTTATTCCTACTACTCAATAATGTTAGTTTAGTCTTGAAGATGCTTTTGTGGAACTACTGAGAGATAGGATTCAGCATTTTCAAGGGGAGGACTAATTTACTGTGTTATCAACTTTTGTATTTGTACTTGTTTTGGTGTAGTCCATTTTTCTTGGTATACCTCGGTGTCTAGGATAGTTTACTTCTGTTAAGAAATTTCACTGTGAATGGTAGTTGCTCAAAGGCTAGAAAACATGAGAGGTTTTTTATAAAACTTGAAAGTATGCCTCCCTGCGCACGCCTCTTGCTACATAAGTGTAGGTTGTATTTCTCTACAACCCCAGAGAAATTGTGGTATAGGGTTAGGGTATAGTGTGTGATGTTGAGACTATGCCATAAAAAATGGAAACTTTCAATAAATCCGCAGAAACCCACTACTGTGTGTCTAGGAAAACAGAAATGCTTATATCCATGGATCCTGAAGCAATTCATTCCAGTTTTATAACTACTTTGCAAAAATATGCTAAAGTAATGATGACGTCCTGGATAATTTGAATGTTTTCCTAGTTTTTTTGAATAATAAAGCACTTAAGCTTTTTTTGATAAACTACTTTATCAGTGTTATTTTAGCTGTAACATGCAATACAGAAAGGATTCTTTAGATTATCCATACTTCAATGGACTGGAATAAAGCTAGTTTAGTCACAGTAGATTACATAGCTAATTACATATTGTAGCCTCTAGTTTGCTGTTCTGATCAAATTAAGTGATTTGATGGAGTGGTGAACAATTTCAATGTTGTAGCCAAGCTTTTAGAGCTAATTTTGCACAAAATAAAAATAGTCAATTGGTTAGTACTGAAGGGAGCAGTTTCTAAATTCTGAAGTTTCACTGAATGCATTACATTATACTTTGGGTTCTCCTGGATGTGCACTGCTTCCTTCTCCCGGTCTTTTATGCAGTAGCGTCCTGTGTCGTTTTGATGGCAAAAATTACATAAGAGCACATAAAAACAGGCAGTTAAGACTAATATTTAACTGTCATTTAGCTCCTTTCATTCCTGTTATTACTGTTAGGAAAATATCCACGTGGAATGACTTATTCTGATTTTCCAAAGAGGCATTGCTCCCCTGTAGAACAGCTTTAAGTAATTTAAGAAGAAATAAAAGAATGGAAGTGTTTTGTAAACTAAGCCACATCTGATGTGCCCCTTGTACTGCTGAATACTTCTCATGTGTATAAATTAATTGCTTTAATGATTTTTAATCTGTTAGAAACAATAACAAAGAAATTACTTTTTACTGTACACACAGACACAATATTTCGTATAAACCTGCTGTTATGTCTGGGATTATGGAATATAGTTTCTACTGATAGATTTCGTACTTCCTTTTTTTAAATTAGAAATTAGAATTTTTTTTTTTGCAGGAGAAATAAGCCCTTGGTTTTCTCTTTGTTATTTAAATTCAGAAGTTATTTTTCAGAAAACTTAAAGGAGCAAGTCTGAAAGAAATGCAAAACTGGTTTAAACAGAAGAATGAACTTTACAGTGGCTACAGGCTAATGTGAAAAGCTTTTTGCTGTTGTTTGTTTTGCTTTCCCCTTAGGTAGGACACACATGCATTTCAATGTTACTATGAAAAAAAAATGTGGCGTATTGTAGGCAAGGTATTGAAGGTGTGATAGCTCTCAGAAAACACGGAGAAGGACCTAGCCATATATTTTTATGAAGCTTAAAATGGTGTACTTTAGTTTGTGTTCTTACATTTCTGTTTATGTAGGTTTTAAAAATATAAGTATTAAATAAAATACAGCTACACTTATTAAATATACATGTAAAGTGTATTTTCACTTGAAGCCAGTATTGCTGTACAATTGTATCCCTGTGGAGAGGAATCCTGAGACACATCGTTGCAAAGACATTTACAGGAACTTGCGGAGATAACCCCATTTATCTGGCAGTGTCAAGCTGGTCCTCATTTTAGCAATTAGTATGGGTTGTCATATGCATATCGCAACTGATGTGTTGCGTGGCAATAAGAATAGTCATAAATATGTTGTTTTGCATTTAATAGAAGGTAATTAATGAAATATTACATAAAATGAGAAATACTTGTAACAAGATAAGATAAATGAAAGGATAGAGGGAACACTAGCATTATAGTATTTTTGGCAATCTGACTTGATTTCCATTCTCCCCCCCCATTTGTAAGCTGAGGAAGCGTCTTAGATAAGGCATAAAGATTTTTTGAGCAGTTGAGAATTTAAAATCGTAATATTTTTCTGGCTTTGAAAGATTTTTTTTTTTTAATTGGAAAAGATATTTGGACAAGTAAATTGAAAAGAACTTCCTTATCTGTTCTTATTTTAAATGCCGTTTAGCAATCCCCAGAATCTTTGTCCAAACTCATATATCGATGTCAGAATTCATTGATGAACTGTACAAGTCCTGGCTAGTTATGTAATTAACTGCTAAATACTTGACCAATAGATTAAAATACTTACATTGATTTGTTGTATATCTGGTTTAAATTTTAGGTTTCCACCTGACCATTTAACAGCATACGTAACAGAATTCATGTACCCTTCCTTTGAGCAGATGTTTACTTCAGGGTGGCTCCTGTGAGAAGCTGCAATAAGCTTCCCCCATCTCTGATAAAGCCAGTGCCAGCCGGCTCTCAGACGGACCTGCTGCTGGCCAAGGCCAAGCCAGTCAGCAATGGTGGTAGCACCTCTGTGATAACATACTTAAGAAAGGGAAGAAAACCTCTGGGAGAAATGGCAGGGTAGAGGGAGGAGTGAGACGATGTGCGACACCAAGGTCAGTGAACGAGGAGGGGCAGGAGGTGCCCAAAATGTCGGAGCAGAGAGCCTTCCCTTGCAACTCATGATGAAGATCATGGTGAGGCAGGTTGTTCCCCTGCAGTCGATGGAGGTCCACGGTGGAGCAGATATCCACCTGTAGCCCATGGAAGGGACCCCATGCCAGAGTAGGCAGATACCTGAAGGAGGCTGTGACCCCGTGGGGAGCCTGTGCTGGAGCAGGCTTCTGCCAGGACCTGTGGACCCATGGAGAGAGGAGCCCATGCCAGAGCAGGTTTGCTGGCAGGACTTGTGACCCCACGGTGGGGAGGGACTACACCCTGTGGAAGGGACCCATGCTGGAGCAGTTTGTGAAGAACTGCAGCCCATGGGAAAGACCCACGTTGGAGAAATTTGTGGCCATTTCACTC